CAACATACTTTCACTGTTTAATTCTTCTTTGCTTTATCCTCATACATAGAATATGTTTTTAAACAATAGTGGCTCAAACAAATACTGACTTATCTTGTGACCTAATCTCTCTAGAGTGTAAATGGGAAGATAGGGAGGATGTTAAATAGCATCTACTAGAAATAAATATTTTTAAATCAGCTCGGATAACTTGCACCCAAGAATTCTAAAAGAGTTGGCTGAGGATATCTTTGGCCCACTGGTGTTAATTTTTAATCTTGGAATTCTGGTGAAATTCCAGAAGACTGGAAGAGTGGTGATACTGTGGCAATATAAAAAAGGTCAAGCAGGCTGACCCGGCTAGTCAAGCTAGCCTGACATCAGTCCCAGGCAAAATAATGGAAAAGCTGATACAATATTCAGTTAATAAAGTGTTAAAGAATGGATAGTTGATTAATTCCAGTCAATGTGGTTTTATGGAAAATAGGGCATGTCAAACCTTATCTCCATTTTTTAAAGAGATTACAAGTTTGGTTGATAAAGCCATAGATCAACAGCGCTGGAACCTTGGTAGAAGTGGTGGGGCATGAGGCCCTGCCCCTTCTCCTCTTCCCCCAGAGGCCCCACCCCCTAGCTGAAGCCAGAGCAGGGCAGTGGTAAGAGCCATCCAGGGAGCCCGGGCCGCTGTGGGGAAACCTGAGCCCTCTCCCTGCCCTGGTCGTAAGGTCGCCAATTTTGGTTGGAAGTATTCCTGGAGGTTTCATCACATGATCATCTTTAATTAAAGATTAATCTTTAATTCCTCGAGACTCCAAGTTGATCCTGGAGGACTGGCAACCCTACCTGGGCGGCGCAGCCTGGGGGGTGGGGACACGGGTTGGAGGCTGCTCTCAGGCACCCCAGTCCCCTGCTCAGGGCAGGTGGGGAGTCCAGGGTTCCCCACAGCGGCCCGGACTCCCTGGGCGGCTCTTACCATGGCCCATCTCTGGCGTCTGGCCTGGCCAGGGGGTGGGGGCCTCAGGGAGAAGAGAAGGAGCACGGGCGGGGCCATGGATAGGGGCCAGGCCTCATGGTGAGGGGGAGCTAAGGCCCCCCTCACCGGGAAGAGGCTGCCACCACTGTCAGGGGCTACTCTCGTGCCTGCTTGAGACTCGTAGATTGGGGGGAAATGCAGCCCCTTCTCCCCCAAACTATGCCCATGTTTAAAAGGTGGCATGGCCCTCCCACTTTTAAAAGTGGGGAGGCTGGTTCCGGCACCCCAGCATAGATTGAATACATGTAGACTTTTGTAAGACATTTGACTTGGTACTATACAGCATTATGATTTTTTTAAAAAATATGTAATATTGATTAAGAACAGCTAAATGACAGATTTAAAAAAAAATTAATTGGGGAATCATCATTGGTGTTTCTAGGGTGGCTCTGCAGGGATCTCTACTAGGCCTGACACTGTTCAGCATTTTCTTCAATGATATGGAAGTAGATATAAAGTCATTGGTGATGAGATTTCTAGATGACACAAAGATTGGCAGAGTGGTAAATAATAATGAGAACAATCATACAGAGCAATCTGGGTCATTTGGTAACCTGGGCCCCTTCAGAAATATGTGTTTTAATATAGCCAAATGCTAGGTCATATATCTAGGGGGGGAATGCAGACTGCCTACAGAATGTATTCTGGAAATCAGTGACTGAAAAGGATTTAGGCATCCCAGTGGACAAGTAATTCACCATGAGCTCCCCAGTGTGATGCTGTGGCAAAAAAGGCTAATGAAATCCTTGGATCAGGGAAGTTAGGAGTAGGGATGTGACTTTACCTCTGTATAAGACATTAGTAATATCAATTTTAGAATACTGTGTTCTGTTCTCATACCAACATTTTTGAAATATCGGAGAGGGTGCAGTAAAGAGCCACAAAAATTATTTGAGGGCCTGAAAGTGAGAGGCTTGCAGCTCAATCTTTATAGTTTCTCTTAGAGGGAATTGAGAAGAGACTTCATTAGTGTACAAGTATAAAATACCAGGTACTTAAAGAGTTTTTTAAACTAGCAGAGAAAGGCATAACAAGAACCAATGGAAGCTGAAGCCAGACAAATTCATATTAGAAATAAGGAATAAATGTTTAAAGTCAGGGTGATTAACTATTGGAACGATCTACAGTGTAAATGGTGGATTCCCCATCTCTTGATATCTTCAAATTCTATAAAATTTGATACTATCTCGCATGACCTTCTCATAAACTAACAAGGGAAATGCAACCTAGATGGAGCTACTATAAGGTGGGTGCAAAACTTGTTGGAAAACCATTCCCAAAGAGTAGTTATCAGTGGTTCACAGTCATGCTGGAAGGGCATAACGAGTGGGATCCCACAGGGATCAATTCTGAGTCCAGTTCTGGTCAATATCTTCATCACTGATTTAGATAATGGTATTGAGAGTACATTTATAAAGTTTGCGGACGATACCAAGCTGGGAGGGGTTGCAAGTGCTTTGGAGGATAGTATTAAAATTCAAAATGAGCTCGACAAACTGGAAAAATGGTCTGAAGTAAATAGGATGAAATTCAATGAGGACAAATGCAAAATGCTTCATTTAGGTAGGAACAATCAGTTGCACACATACAAAATGGGAAATGACTGCCTAGGAAGGAGTACTGTGGAAAGAGATCTGGGGGTCATAGTGGACCACAAGCTAGATATGAGTCCACAGTGTAACACTGTTGCAAAAAAAAGTGATCATCATTCTGGGATGTATTAGCAAGAGTCTTATAAGCAACACCATGCAGATTAGGCCTCCGTTGGAGTATTGTGTCCAGTTCTGGATGCCACATTTCAGAAACATGTGGACAAATTGGAGAAAGTCCAGAGAAGAGTAACAAAAATGATTAAAAGTCTAGAAAATATGACCTATGAGGGATGATTGAAAAAACTGGGTTTGTATAGTCTGGAGAAGAGAAGACTGAGAGGGAGGAGGCATGATAACAGTTTTCAAGTACATAAAAGATTGTTACAAGCATAGGCGCTACTTCCCCTCTTTCCCATGGGTGCTCGACCCGCCCTTCTGCCCCCGGCCCCACCCCGACTCCACCCCTTCCCTGAGGTCCCATCCCCATTCCAACCCCTTCCCCAAAGTCTCCACCCCCTCCCTGCCCCTATTCCAACTCCTTCCCAAAATCCCCACCACAGTCCCGCCTCCTCCCCTGAGCATGCCATGTTTCCGCTCCTCCCCCTCCTTCCCGGAGCATGCTAACGCTGCCAAACAGCGGCCAGGCGGGAAATGCTGGGAGGTAGGCAGAGGAGCGGGGACGCAGCACGCTTGGGGGGGAAGGGAAGGGGAGCTTGCCTGCCGGTGGGTGCAGAGCACCCATTAATTTTTCCCCATGGGTGAGTCACACACAGAGTCAGTGCCTATGGTTACAAGGAGGAGGGAGAAAAATTGTTGTTCTTAACCTTGGAAGCTAGGGCAAGAAGCAATGGGGTTAAATTGCAGCAAAGGAGGTTTAGATTGGACATTTAGAAAAACTTCCTAACTGTTAGGGTGGTTAAACACTGGAATAAATTGCCTAGGGAGATTGTGGAATCTCTATCATTGGAGATTTGTAAGAGCAGGTTAGACAAACACCTGTCAGGAATGGTCTAGATAATACTTAGTCCTGCCATGAGTGACGGGGACTGACTAGATGACCTCTCAAAGTCCCTTCCAGTCCTATGATTCTATGAAATTAAGACTCAAAGCCTTTCTGGAAGATGTTAGTCAGGCACAAGTTATCGGGCTCAACACGGGTAACTGTGTCAAATTCTGTACTCTGCATTAGATAGGTGGTCAGACTAGATGATCTAATGTCCTGTCTTACCTGATACTGTATGAATCTATGACAGTGTACTGTTCTAGATATATACAGTGGTCACCCTTAAACGGTGTGTATATTGCGTATGATAAATAGTTTTAGTATTTGCATAATTAAGTGTAACTTCTTAAGATTGGGTATATGTGCCCAATCTGTGTGCAGACCAAAAAACAGCAAAATTCCCTCACTGCGCTGAAAGAAGGAAGCTAGCCCTGAAAGACCGCCTAAGATGCGAGTCATGGAGAAAAGAACTGGTATCTATGACTTCATAGTCTGCTGCAAGGTGGAGTTAAGTGGCAGAAACCATGGGGTGGTGGGTGAACCCCCGCTTTGGGGAGACTAGCTAGCCAGCCCTGCCTCTTCCACCCAAGGACCCCCTCCGCCCCCCGCATGCCGGAGCCCTGAACCCACCCCCAGTAAAAGAAGAAGCCCTGAGGGGGCCCCACGACCACAGGAGCCCCCACTCACCCACCCCAGTCACATTGGTCCGAGCCGCCGCCACCAGCAATCCCCCCAACCCACCGCTCCTCTCCCTCTCCCCCTCCCCCGAGCACCAGGCCGAGCTGCCAGCCTCCCCAAGTGCTGGGCAGTCCCCCCTGCTTCTGATGCCCCCCCCCCAGCCGAGTCATGGCTCCTCTGCCCCTGAAGGCTCTCCTCCGCCCAAGCCGCTGGACCCCACCACCAGTGCCGGGCCGGGCCAAGCCGCAGGGCCCCCCAAGTGCCAGGCCGGCCCATCGCCTGGTTGGCCCACCTAGCGCCAGCCCCTCCCGCCCCTGAAGGCCCTCTCTCAGCCGAGCCACTGCCCGCACCAGCGCCAGACCGAGCCGCTCGCCACCCAAGCGCTAGCTCCTGCCGCCCCTGATGGCCCCGCCCCCAGAGAACCCAGCCGAGACTCCTCACTTCGCTGGCTCTTGCCACCTTGAGCAGGAGGGATGTAGCTTGCAGCAGGGACCTCTGGGGAGTGGGTGGGGGAGCAGGAGTGGAGGAGATGGTGGGTGTCTCGGGGAAGGGGCGAGGCCACCGTGGCTCAGGTGTCCAGCGGCAGGTCGGCGGCAGCACTACGGAAGACTAAGCCTTCCCTGGCCTATTATACCCACTGCCCATGGCAGAAACCATTTAAAAAAAAAGGGGGGGGGCTTCCAGGTTGGGAGAGTTAGTGTGAAGTTTTGCTAGGTAGAGGAGTGCTCTCTGGTTTCCTGCTGTCTCATAAAACTCCTGAACCTGGCCTTGGCTAGCTTAAAGGCCTAATTGGGGAATTAATCACTCATCTTGAACACAGCAGAACTGTCCTACTGCTCAAGGACTGTAGAATGTTGTTTTGTTTTTGTTCCAACTGGAACCTTGGCTGAAAGAAGCAGCCCTGTGTCTGTGGAACCTTGGATTAGATTGAAGGAGGTCTTGTTTGTTTTTCTTCATTTGGACCAATAGTCAAAGAAAGAAGCCTTTTGACGGTTTAATTTCATTTGGTTGAAACTGAAATTATTTCCCCTCCATTTTGGGACCTACCTTAAAGGGACCATGACCCCAACCCAGTAGCATAGCTTGTGATCCCACCATACTTCCTTTCACTTATATATGTATGTTCCTTTCTTAGCGCTTTTCTTACTATTTTATTGTTTACTTTCACAATACTATGAATGATTCCATGGAAATGTCTGGTGGTAAACAGAGAATATGCTAACTGATTTTTTTTTTTTTTCATCTTAGAGTCATTTATAAATTACTGGCTTCCAAAAGTGAAAGTATCTGGGTGCAGGCTCTGAAGGTACTGGGATATTTTCTCAAACACCTGGGTCACAAGTAAGTGTACTGTCTGAAGTAGTTGTAGTGGCATACAATGATTATAATTTGTTTTGTTTTTTGTAATATTCAGTTTAAAATACAAAACATGACATCTAGAAAGTGCTTAGAATGCATTAACTGCAGTGTCTATGATGAGTAATTTGCAGATTCTGTTATTTTTATAGATACGAAGTGAAGAAAAATACCTAATTTTCAGATTAATTTCTTACAAAATAGTAATTTCAAAAGATAAAAAACATTGTCTGGTAACTTTTAAATGTTTATGTGAAAATAAGTCTTAAACCAAAATTGCTTTAGAAAACAAAACAAAAAACCCAGTAATGGCATTAATAAATTAAATGTATTGTTCTCATATGGCCGTATATCTCTGAAAGTACAGTAGATATGAAACTCAATGTTTTATGGATCATTAAAGATTGTTGGTCAGTCATTTGCATTTTTAGTTGCATTAGGAATAAACATCTGGGAGGAATTACATAAAGACATTTAAAAAGATGATGGAAATAAATAAAACTGAGGAATAATAAAACATTCTCATAAAAATATTAGCTATTACTGTTATACAAATACAGAAAGAACAGCAAATAAAGTATGTAAATAGTGATAAAAATTAAAATAGTGATAAAAATAGAGAAGTAAGATGTAGAAAGTGTAATAAGTGAAATTTAGAATTAGTTGTTTCCATGTAGACAGATTTTTGTTTAGTTTCCCAAATGCTATTTTGACTAGCCCCAAATTATTTCTAATGTGCTATTACATGGTGCTTTACATTTTCAAAACAATGTCCATACACTGAGTAATTAATCCTCTTAACACCCTGCGAGGTTGAATAAATTATTAATCCCGCTTTACAGATGATGATACTGCGACAGAGGCTAATTGATTTGCTTGGAGTTACACATGTGCATCAGTGACCGAGCCAGCATGAGAACTCAAGAGTATCTGGTAGCAAGCCCTCTGCTCAGTCATTTAGGCTACCCTGCCTCCCTAATTTCATTCAAGTAGCTACAACCGTATTGATGGCACAATATAGTAGGTATGGTAGAGTAGCATCAAGGAAAATTGTATGACACACTAGAGCCAAGCACTTGATCATTTGCATAGCTTATTGTACTTCATACATGACTCACAAAATGCTTTAGATTTTGATCCGCGTAACATAAAAAGAAAAAAAAAGGTTTTAAGGTATGCTTTTCTAGGATAATTTTGATTTGGATTAAGAAGGTCAGTGATTATGACTGTAGACAAGAAGATATGTTCTTTTTTCTTGGAGTGAGAATGTTATCTGGCTTCAGTTTTCAGTATTACCTGAAATTTCAGAGTAGCAATTTAGGAAGACTATAAGAGGGAATTTTATTAATGTGGGATGCGGTTAAAGCAAGGATAAGGATTTTAGCTCAACTTGATGATTAATTCTGACACTTTAGAGGTGGTGATTGGCTACTTATACAATTGAGTTATGAGAAGAAAAATATTTTGAATAAAGAGTGTTTCTAAGATTTCTGTCCCTGGGAAAAGTAAAAGTCTAATTTAAGGAAATCTGCTGTGGAATAAGACACAGAACAGGTAGTATGTTCTACTCAAAAGTTCAGTCTTTCAAAATGTTTGATAGTAGGAAGTTATGATCTGGTGAGGAGTTGACATGAACAAGAAAAGTAGATAGATGGGACCTTTATTTGATGGACATGTAATTTAGAGTGACATCCAAGGCTGAAACTAGCAATATGATATTCCAGAAAAAGAATGTAGATGAAGAAGAAAAATAATGATCAACTCCATGATGGAAGGGGCTTAAGTTCCAGATGTAATGCCTTCATCAGAAATGAGGAAGTGGTTAGAAAAGTAGGAATCAATCTAGGACAGGATATTTGTGTAGACACTGGTTTTTCTTGAGGGGCTCCAGGATAGAATGATCAATAAAGTACACTCACTTAACTGAGACATGGTTAATTGTGGAAAAGATGCCTAAATTGAATTTTTCTCAAGGGATTTATTAAGTCCAAATTGCTGCTGTTAATCGTATTTTGTATTTCTAATTTGCATTCCACCTGAGGATCTCAAAGGGTTTTATAAATATTACTGGCTAAAACCTCAAAACAGTTGTGTTAGACAGGAGTTATTTCCAGTTTAAAAATGCGTAAAAAGGCCTGAAGCAGTTGTGATTTGTCCAATAACCATGTTGTGACCAGTCTAGTTAATGGACTACAAAATTGTCTTTCTGCTAATAAATCAATGGCAAGCTCTGTTGCTTCCCAGGAACACTATAGGAAATGAAGGGTGGGATTTTCAAAAGTGCCTAAAGGAGTTCTCCCACTGAAAATTTTGGTTGCCTGAACCCCTGAGGCTCTTTGGAGAATCCAGCCAATTATGGCTGCATCCGTAGGGCCTCCATAGTTAAATACAAATCAGCGCATCATTAGAGAAGTAAAATCCCTTCTGTTTTGCACTTTAGTTACTGAATTTGCTTTCCAAATTTGATGTGATAGCTCTTCATAAAGGAATTTTCTGTAAATTTTTTAGTGAATCTTTACAGCTGAAATATTTTAAAATGCTCCCATTTTGAAATTTGTCCTGTTCACATCATATTTTGGGAGTTTGAATAGCTAAAAACCCACAATCCTCATAAACACCAAATCTCTCACATGCATACCTGTGCGTGTCTATCTCATATTTTTTCTGATATTTTGGACTTGGACCACTTCTGAAGTTTTAAAACTAAACCGTTATTATTCCAAAGAATAATTGTGAGTAGTGCAATGATTAGCCAGAAGAACTGCAGGGTTCTGTCAGCCACGTCATTTTTTCCTGACACTGCAAGCTTGATTCAGCAGCCACAATCTGCATGTACCCCTAGTGAGCGAGGGAGGGAGTCTGGGCAGGGAAGAGCTGGGACTTGTGGGGAGATGATACTTTGTGAAAGAGTTTGGAAAAATGGGATTTATTAGGGATTTGTGAGTCCCAGGGACAAAGACGTTTGTGTGCAATGTGAGGCCTGAGCTAGAAAGAATTAGGGCTTTGCTGAGGCCTAGGGTGGAGGGGAGCCACTCCATCCTCCTAGCCCATCAAGGCAGTAGTGCCATGGGGAGATCTTGATGCCTCAGTGCAGACAAGCTTGACTTTCCCCACACACAACCTTGGTCTCTTCATCCACCAACCAAAAGCCTTTATCCCAACCCCGCCCCCCACTCACAACCCCATGTTCTGTTATATGGTGCACTATAAAACAGTACCATGGAGAGGAAAGAGGAGGAGGTGAACAGATCTATGTGGGGGATTTGGATGGGTGAGATTGTGGGGGGCAGGGAGGAGCAGGTCTATTTTATGGGAGCATGGAGATAAAGTGAAATTTGCACTAAGTTGCTGGTAGTAGCAGAAGATGGAGAGGTGGTTTGTCTAAACATGTAGTCTTAACTGTCACCATAAAATACACTTCTGTTTATGCACACACTGACTTTAACGCTGTAATTTTTAAGTACAGAAATAACTTTAGAATAATCTCTAACATAAATCACTCATTCTCATACATTTTTCCTAAACATTACAGAAAATGACACTATTTGCAATTCTTCACACATCAGTACAAAGCCACATATGCAGCTACACACAATGTAACTTACAAAAGCTGCATTAATATTAATAATTAAAACACATAAACATAAAACCAATTAACATTGCTATAGTCATAGGTATCCATTGGCTCTTTAGCAGAAGGGTCAAGAGAGTTGATGCTGAGAAGGGGAACTAATGGATGAGTTGAGTATAGATGATACGTCAAGTGACTTAATTGATTCTTTCCTTCTTATTTGTCTTTTGTTGGTTGGCTATTCTGTCTAACCACCTTAATACAAAGTCAACAAAGTTGTGTGTCCTCTCTCCCCCCAATTGTATTTAGTTGATTTTTGTTTTTATACAGAATATATGTTAAGAGAAGGTTAACTTTCACATTTAAGCACAAGTCAGGAAATTTCAAAATTAAAGGTGCACACATTGCCATAAATATGTCCCCTTGCAAGTGCATACCACAATAGTCTAATTTTATGAAAACATACTATTTCTCAAATACATTGTCTCAAACATGTAAGACGACCACATTTGCAGTTGGGACATTGGATGGGCTGGTACTGGGGTGTTACTGAGAAGTGCACGGCTGGTGAGTCTTGCTCACGTGCTCAGGGTCTAATTTATCACCATATTCAGGCTCAGGAAGGAAATCCCCCGAAGTCAGATTGGCAGTGATCTTAGGGGGGTGTTCATCTTCCTCTGCAGGATGGGGCATGAGTCACTTGTGAGGATCCTTGAGGTATATGTTACTACATTAATTCCATGCCACTGCAGAGGCTTCAAGAACTGATGCACCTCAGTCCCTGTCCTCTGCCTGTGGCACAGAATAATTTAGTCTCTTGTAATATTTTTGTCTAATTTTAGTTGTTGGGCTTGGTTTGTGGATGGTTGGATAGTGTTTAATGGCCTGTGATATAGAGCACTGGTCCCCAAACTGTGGGGTGAGCCCCACTAAGGGGCACAGAGGAACATTCAGGGGGTGCGCGGCAGGGCCCGGGCCAGCGCCCATGAGGGGAAGGGAGGGACACCCACTTCCAGTCCCACTCCACCCCCAGCTGAGCTCCACCCCCAACCGCATTCAGCCCCCAGTCCTGCTCCGCCTCCCGACCAGGTCCATCCCCTGCCCCACTCCACACCCAACCCCGCTCTGGCCCATGCCCCAACTCCACTCTACCCCCTGCTCCGTCCCCAGATCAGCTCTGCCCTCATTCCCTCTCTGCCCCCAGACCAGTTCCGCCCCCAGCTCCGCCTTCAGCCCAAGCTCCGCTGCTGAGGAAGCCTTGGCTATGCAGTAATTGAGGTGGGGGGCATGGACAGATTCCGTTAACGGTAAAGGGGGGCGCACCACTGATATAGAGGAGATCAGAGTAGATGACCTGGTTATCCCTTCTGGCCTTAAATTCTGTGGCACAAGTGTGGTAACCCGTAATATTTTTCTTCCTTACACTAATTTCATAGCCCCAGTGGTCCAGTGTACCTTTAAAATGTTGGGGTCTAAATTAGCTGTTACCACTTAAGAAAGAGATCTTGGAATCATTATGGATAGTTTTCTAAAAACATCCACTCAATGTGCAGCAACAGTCAAAAGGGTGAACAGAATGTTGGCCATCATTAAGAAAAGGATAGATAATAAGACAGAGAATATCATATTGCCTCCATATAAATCCATGGTACTCCCACATCTTGAATACTGTGTGCAGATGTGTTCGCCCCATCCCAAAAAAGATATATTGGAATTGGAAAAGGTTCAGAAAAGGGCAACAAAAATCATTAGGGGTATGGAAAGGCTTCCGTATGAGGAGAGATTAATAAGACTGGGACTTTTCAGCTAGGAAAAGAGATGACTAAGGGGAGGGGGGCGGGATATGATGGAGGTCTATAAAATCATGACTGGTGTACAGCAAGTAAATAAAGAAGTGTTATTTACTCCTCATAATACAAGAACTAGGGGTCACCAAATTAAATTAATAAGGAGATTTAAAAGAAACAAAAGGAAGTATTTCTTCACACAACACACAGTCAACCTGTGGAACTCCTTGCCAGAGGATGTTGTGAAGGCTAAGACTATAACAGGGTTCAAAAAAGAACTAAATAAGTTCATGGAGGATAGGTCCATCAATGACTAGTAGCCAGGATGGGCAGGTATGGTGTTCCTAGCCTCTGTTTGCCAGAAGCGACAAGGGATGAATCACTTGATGGTTACTTGTTCTGTTCATTCCCTCTGGGGCACATGGCATTGGCCACTGTCAGAAGACAGGATACTGGGCTAGATGGACCTTTGGTCTGACCCAGTATGGCCATTCTTATCAAAGTTCTATGTAAGTTCTCCTTTGTAAGATAGGTACTTACAAAACTTGTTGAAATGCCTAGGTACTATACATTTTCTTTCAATGAACAGCAAACCCTTCCTTGGAAGCAGTGTTGGTGAGAAGTCAATTAACTATAAAGCCAGTATTGCTTTGAGCACATGTAGTATATATAAGCCAGTAAGTTTTCACTATTAGTCTTTTGTATCCTCAATCTGTAGTATGTTACATATACCTGTATTGTGTTCATATAAATGACTCATGTGCTCCTTGCTATGTTTAGAACAGTACATAGAACTACAAGATGCTACACATGTATTTAAGGTCGTTGAAACTTGTATTATATTTTATCATTTTAGAAATAGTGTGGTATGTAATTATGAAACTGAAGACTGTATTGTAATGAATATACACAAGAGGCATAGCTAAGATTGCATTTCCTGACTCTTAAATGGTTAATCATGCAACTTTAATATTTTATTTATGTGGCTTTTTGTAAGAAACTTTAAAAAAAAAAAAAAAAAAAAAAGTCTGGAAAAAAATAACAAAAGCATGCTATGTTATATTTATTCTCTTCTCCCCTGCAAAAATTGACAGAATATCTGTGAATTTAATAAATTAGACCTATTTGGCTACATACCACCAGAACACTTTGTCCAACTTGCCTTTGTAGTTCCATAGAGGAAAGTCATGAAAACTTTTCTATTCTAAGCATTTCAGATATGACCACTAGCCCTCTTTATCTATTATGTATTGTTTTAATCCATATTGTACCTATTCTTCCATATAAATTGTAAATGCTTCTGGATAGAGAGTTTGCACTTCATTTTCCATATTTTTTTTCTTAAAGCACTGTGTAGATTTATGGCACTATACAATAAGTACTGTGCATATTTATGGTGCTATATACATGTTTAAACAGAATACAATTTGGGGGATTGGCTGAATTTCCCTGATGTTTTATTTGGGAACCAGAGCTTCTTCCTTCTCTACTTTTAAGGTATAGTTTGTTCTGACTTGCGTTACAATATGCTAAAACAGTATTACACTTAGCTGGAATTTCACAACTCTTCAGAATTTTGTATTGCTCATACCGGATTGTTTTAATAGATATATGAGGACTGTTTTATTGTATGTATGAAAGAAAGCTGTGCACAGAGACTGACAATGGTAATAAAACCCATAAATGTTAAAGTGCCTTTCTTGGAAGACATATGGGAGCATAACACTGAGTCCTGTGAGGGAAAGGCAGCACTTCATGTTGCTCATCGGTCACCCATCTGTCTAGTGTAGGGACATCCTTGACAGATTTGGTGGGGGACGGGTACAGCCTAGTCTGTCTGTCCTCTACCAAAGGAAAGTGTCTGTGATGAACATCTTTGAGGGCAAGAAGGTGGTTACATACAAGAACCCATCCTGCATATAAAATTGCATTCTCATAACCATTCAGTATGGCCAGAACAGTTTAAATGAATTTTCAGAAATAGCTTAAAGTAATATGCAACATTACATGATAAAAGAATAATAAACAATTTAAAGCATAGATATTATAAAGTCCAAGTTTGATGTAAAATGTTTTTTGATAGCATGAAAAAAATACATTCCTTCTCTGGTTTTGCATCTACTTAAAATCTTCAACATGTTTTATGTTTTGTATTTTTATGTTCTTTCCTCCAGACGAAAGGTTGAAATCATGCATACCCATAGTCTTTTCACCCTTCTTGGAGAGAGGTTGATGCTGCATACAAATACGGTGACCGTTACAACATATAACACACTTTATGAGGTACAAATTACTTAAACATACAAATAATATCATTTGTTGCAAAAAATGTGTTTATATGAATCTGTATTTAAAAGATTCCAATCTTCAGGTCACTATGACTCTATTAAAATCTGAAATTTTAAAAGATCCTCTCTGAATCAAGCAAGATTACTTATCATGTTTATTTAGATTTTTTTTCATAAGCACTGTTATAATTTTTGCAACTTGTCTGTAAAGCTTTACATATACCTATGGCATTATAGATGGAGCTAGAAATGACCTTTTATTTAGATTGTTAAAAAATTCCTTTATAAAAGAAACTTTGAGAGTTCTAACACCTTCTGTTTTTACAGCAGTCTTTTGAAATTCAGTGGGAGAAATCCCTGGGGCCATAGAAATGCCTCATTTGTTTTTTCTAGTGAAAGTCAATTGGGGTTTTGTTTAGTTGTAAATTGTTGAAAATTTCCATTTTCCTCCTCTAGCCTGTGTGGTTGGCAATGTGCCAAAATAATAACTGAATATGAATGCTCTAATTTAAGGCTGGGTCCATGTTGTTGCCAAAAGAGCATCAGCACACACTGAATTGGGAGCCCCATGAGTAGACAGCCTGGGTATGCCAGATCAATTGAGATAGAGTGGGGCCCAATTTCTCCTGACAGCCTCCAGTGACCCACCAAATGACCCCAGTGATCCATACCCTTCGCTGGTGGCAATATACAGTGTAGGAGCTTCCCACCTCCTGGTACTGGGCCTTAGGGAACAAATTGTATGGTGAATTACAATCAGATAATGAATTAGGTTGTGTGTGGGATTGCTGCCTCATTTTCTATAGAAGTTGTAATGTATGTACAGAAGGAGGCAGAGGATTGCAGGAAGAGAAAGGTGCTGTTGTGGTGAAGGAGGGTGACTGTGACTTGAGAGGACTCAATTGTAGCCCTGCATATGTCACAGACTTTGTATGTGATGTTGAGGAATCCAGTTAAACCAAATTTTGACAAAGTAACTGTGTATTCTGAATTTTTGGAGTGCCCAATTTGAAACACCTTGCATTGATTTTTTTCAGAAGTGCTGAATGCTCAAAGCTGCAGTTGAACTCAGTTGAAGCAGTATATGCTCAGCTCCTCTGTCAGTAAGGCAAAGTGGTCTGGAGGAATGAGCACAAAGTTGGGAGTGAGGAGTTCTTCTTTGAGTGCCTAGGTGTATTCCACTGTGGGCAGGCATGCGGTCCAAGAATTCCTGCGAGTAGTGTCTGTTGGTCCATGCCTGTGTCCCTGTTCTCTTCGTGCTCTGCACCCAGGGTATGAGGGGCAGGGCAAGGCAGACCAACCACCTCTTCAGTTCCTTCTTACCACCTCATAACCTGAGTCAGAAACCTCCAGTGTCCCAAGCTGATCCTTTCTCTTCTTCCTGTAAATATTTAAAATTTTAAATTATTCTTAGTTTTTGTTGTTAGTGTTTTGATAGTTCTAGTTAGTCAGTTTTAGACTCCCAACCCTGTGCTCCCAATCTCCCTGAATGGGATTTTGAGGATCCCCAAGAGTCTGGGCTACAAAAATTGCATTTTCTGCCCCCACTTCTTTTTGGTGAGCAGTGATCATCAGTGCTGCCTCTGCTCCACCAAATGCAATTTTTGACACTCCTTTCCCAGCCTAACTCAGCAGGCATTAGAACTTCAACTTCAGAAACATGTTTTGGAGCAGGCAATGAATCCTCATTCAGACCCAGGCCAGGGAGAACTTCCTGAACGTTGGCCAGAGTCAGCAGGTAGCAAGATCCCTATTCTGTGTCTGACTCTGGAATCGAGTGGGACGAGCCCTTTGTCTGGCCCCCTCATGGGAGTAAGGGGCACTCTTACAAACATAAAAACAGATCTCCTCATAGACGATCTAAGGGGAGAGACCCGCCTCGACTCTTTCCAAGTCAGGTGAGCCCTCATGCCCGAGCCATAAGAAATTAGGTCCTCCTAAGCTGCGTGGGCATGTTCAAAAGACTCATAGGCGCAAAAGTCCTTCAGTAGCAGCCTCCACATTGACTCAGAAGCTGACTTTGGTGCTACCTAAAATGAAACACAGAGACCCAAAAGCTCAGGAACTGCTGGTACTGTCAAAGATTGTGAGTTGATTACCTGAATGATTTTATCACTCTCCATCATACAAGCCACCTCGCAAACAACAAAAGATGCATCTTCCACTACCCAGCCTCACCCTCCAGCCAAGAGATATTTTTAACATGACGCCAGAGAGCTGCAACCTAGTATTGATGCTATCTCCACCTATTACTGAGATCCATTGGGGAATAACTAGCAAAATTTCCCCAAAACTGGGCAGTGAGAACAACAGACAAGTACATGCTGGATATCCATTCCATCTGTACCATAGAGTTTCTCTGCCTCCCTCCTCCAAAACCCTTTTCCCTGTCCCTTTTCAGGGACCCAGTCTCATAAGGCAGTTCTCCTTCAGGAGGTACAATCTCTTCTCCAATGAGGAGCAATACAACAGTGTACCAGGGTGCTGGTGCAAAAGCACCTAATTAGCCTCTGCCCAGTCAGCTCCAATCAGGGGAAATAGATTGGGGCTGACGGAAAAGGCCTGATTCTGGCCTGAGGATTGGCAACACCTGCTGGCCTGACAAGCCAAGAGCTATAAAGGCTGGGGGGGGGCAGCCAGGGAGAAGTCAGTCAGGGAGGGAACTGGAGGCCTCCTAGCTGAAGGCTACCTCTGCCTGTAAAGGAGATGACTAATCCTGCAAGGCTTGTATATAGATACACCGGTGGTGGGAGAACCTTATATAAATAAAGACACAGGTGGTTCGCAACCCTGAAGCCTCTCTGAGCTTTATTGGGGGCAGCAAGTGGGCCCCAGGAAGAGGGGGGGACGTGAACCCTGTTACAAGCAGATACTCCCTCAATATTGAGGAAAAAGGTTCTATTCAAAGTATTTCTTCATTCCCAAGAAGAAAGAAGGCTGGTGACCCGTTCTCAAGCTGTGTCAACTGATAGTTTTTATTCAAAAACTGAAATTTCACATGGGTACATTAGCATCAATAATACCATCCCTACAAAAAGTCACATGGTTCATGGTTCTTAATATGAAACAGGCATGCTTTCATGTGAATATTCATCCCTCTGACAGATGGTTCCTCAGCTTTGTGGTGGGGCCCACACAACTATCAATACAGGGTGCTTCCATTCGGGCTCACTACAGCTCCCAGAGTCTTCACAAAAGCGTTCTTCATAATAGCAGCTCAGCTCAGACAAGGCTGCTCCACCGTCTTCCCATACTTAGACAACTGACTTCTAACCAGCCAGTCTCACCTGGAAGTTTTAATGTCAACTTCATCACTGATGCACCTTCTAGCATCCCTGGTAATCTGTGTAAGCATGGAATAGTCTATCTTGACTCCGACACAGGCCATAGACTTTATAGGATCGACACTGGATTCAGTCAAAGTGAGGGCCTACCTCTCCACAGATTTCACTCCCCACAGACAGATTTCACTCCATGGGCACTGTGATAGACCTGCTTACACACAAACTTTAATGTGTAATGTACCTTATTCTCCAGGGCCATATGCCAGACTCAGCCTTCATTGCCTGTAAGCTGGCTCCAAATGGTATGTACACCAAGCGCACACAGCATGAATACCATAGGGACAATTCCTTCTAAGTGAGGGAATGGTGGAGAGATGCTGGACATGTGTGCATGGGAATTCCATTTCTATCCCTCACACCCAACAATGATAATTACAAACCTCTCCCTGGTAGGATAGGGGAGCTCACATAGACAGTCACATGGCACTAGGATCACTTGGGCAGCCAGAATGCACATCAGTCTTCTGAAACTGAGAGCCCTACAACAAAACATTCCTACCATTCACGCAATCCCAGCACATCCTGATAATGTCGGACAACATAACTACCATTTTCTATGTAAATAAGCAGGGAGAGACATACTCCATCCTGCTCTTTTTAGAAGTGGTCAACTTATGGACCTGGTGTATACAGAACCACATAACCCTATCTGCAGTGTACCTCCCAAACACCCAAAATGTGCTGGTGGACAGCCTCAGCAGGCATTTTGCCACCTATCACAAGTGGGAATTACATGATTCAGTAATAAACACCATCTTCACTCAGTGAGAAACAGGAAATGTAAAGTAAACTGCTCCAGTGAGCAACAGTCCTCTTCTACCTTGGACAAATCACTTCAGTTATGCCTCCCATTGAACTATTATCTCTGGTTCCATGGAAAATTCAACTAGACAGGGCTCAAGTCATCCTCATTGCCCCCAGATGGCCCAGACAATTATGCTTTCCAAACCTCCGACAAATGTCATTCCCATCCACTTATCAACATTCAGATCTTTTCAGATTTCTTGATCCAGATAAATGGCAGGGTCAGACATTACAACCCCAATGCTTTAATCTCATGGCATGGTATTTGGATGGGCATTGAGACTAGAACATTCCTGTTCTGAAGCTGGGAAAATTATTCTCACTAGTAACAGAAAAGACTCCACTGGAAAATATAATCTAGCCAAGTTGAAACCTTCATCTGTCTGGGCCCAGCAAAACTATATGTCTCCAGAGGCACCTGATATTCCCACAATTTTCGATTATATTTTTATCCTCAAGCTTATGGGCTTTTCCCTTAGCTCCCTGCAAGTTCATCTAGCAGTAATTAGTGTGTGTCACCTGCCAGTGGATGGTTCCTTGATATTTAGCACCTGATAAGTCAGGTTGTTGAAATCTGGTCAGAAACTTTCCAGCTGTGAAGAAACCAATCCCCCTAGGGGAATCTTACTTTAGTGCTTTGAGCACTTGCTAAACCTCCCATAAAACTGCTAGCTATGTGTTCCATGTCTTGCCTATCAGTGAGGGTTGCCTTCCTTGTTGCCATCACCTCAGCCAGAAGAGTAGGAGTACTAGGTACCTTAATGGTGGATCCACCAAACACAATATTCCATAAGGATAAGGTCTTGCTATTACTACACCCAAAATCCAGTCCTAAAATAGTTTCAGA